ATGTCTGTCCGCATCGGGGGAGCCCGGCTCAGCCTTAGGAAGGAAGGAGGCGCTGGCACAGGCTCCAGCATGGAGGCATCTGAGGACACCGCGCTGGGTGAAACAAGCCTGGCATGAAAGGACACCACTCACAGGAGGCCCGAGACCAGCAGGGTCTACAGACACAGTGGAACGGTGGCCGCCGGGGCGGGAGCGTGGGGAGTTCGTGTTGGAAGGGGACGGAGGTTCGGGTGGGAAGGTGACAAAGTTCTGGAGGTGGATGTGGTTGTGGCTGCACAAAATGTACACGTGCCTCCTGCCACTCCACTGCATGCTTAAAAATGGCTATGGCCCAGTGCAGTGGCTCGTGCCTGAAATCCCAGCCCTCTGGGGGCCAAGGCAGAAGTGTTAGAGCCCAGGAGTTGGAGATGAGCTTGGGCGACACAGTGAGGCCTCGCCTCCACAGAACAAAAGGTAGTTAAGATGCTACGTTTTATACTATATGGATTTTACCATGACAGAATGGTTGGTGTTTTGGTTTTTTATTTTTTTGAGACAGGGTCTTGCTCTGTCGCCCAGGCTTGAGTGCAGTGGGCATGATCTCAGCTCACTACAACCTCTGCCTCCCAGGTTCAAGCCATCCTCCCGCCTCAGCCTCCTGAGTAGCTGGGGCCACAGGTGTGTGCCATCGCGCCCAGCCTAATTTCGTATTTTTAAAAACTTCTTTTGTAGAGACAGGGTCTCCCTGTGTTGCCCAGGCTGGTCTTAAACTCCTGGGCTCAAGCAATCCTCCCACCTTGGCCTCCCAAAGTGCTGAAAGTACAGGTGTGAGCCACCATGCCTAGCCGACAAAACGTTTTCTAAAGCAGGCTAAATATTTGACTAATGACACCACAAGGAACAGCTGTCCCCTCCCTCTGGACAGCCCTCAGGATATGCGGAGTGACTCCCATCTCTGGCGGCTGCTGCCTCTCCGGGTCGACACCATTTACTCTCCAGGATAAAGGTGGAGGAGAGGCACTGTGGCCAGAGGGCCCAGCACTGAGACACGGAACTGAGCAGCTGAGCCGAGAGCGCCTTTGCTTCTCCTCATTGACCAGGGTCCAAGGGACAGACCTGGTAATGTTTTCTTGCACACACAGCCATGTGAAGACCTCCTGCCTCTGAAGTGCAGTCTGGCAGCCATGGCTGTGCTGTGTGGGAGGCGGCCCCGGCCCAGTCCTGACCTGAGGGCATGGGGGCCCAGCCTGTCCTCTTGGCCCCTGGCGCCCTTCTCTGTTTGTCGCGTCTACATCGGTCTGGGCAGGAGCAATGCCCAGAGAAGGAGCTGGAGGAGCGGGCAGCTCGCTGGCCACGGTCTGTGTGTGCCTGCAGGTGTCAGTGGTGTGGACAAGGCCAGGGGACTGCTGCCACCGGGGACAATGCCCAGGGCACCCCACAGGGCAGTGAGCACCGGCACACAGCAGTGTCCCCACGGGGCTCAGGTCACAGGCCTGCCTGGTGAGGGTGTGTGGGCCTTGGTTGGCAGGCGGTCCCAGGGCCTGCCCAGGTCTCCCAGTCCTCTGGGCCTGGACGGCAGAGGGAGTGGGGAGGTCATATTATAGCCCCCGGGAATGTAGGTCACTTTAAGGGTTTTGCACCAAGACTCTCATAGAAATCCTCTGCAAAACTGTCCGCAGAATTCAAGGCTTTAGCGCCAAGGGGAAAAACCATCCCAAGCAGAAAGGCCGGAGGTGGCTCGGGGGCCTGGCTCTCAGGAGTACCCAGCCAGCCCCTGGGCCCAGTGACCATCCCAGGCCATGCTCGCCTGTCCAAACTATGGCCTGGGAATAAGCTCGGAGCTCCCGGGGAGGCCAGTGCGGTGCCGGGACAGGGCTGGGCCGCCCCCTGGTGGATGCGCTGAGCACCCTGCTGCCATCAGCCCAGGAGGGAGGGCACCGTCCCTCGCCTGGTCCTCTCTTTCGGCCCAGGGTGCTGGTGACCAGCAAGCAGCGTGGACCCGAGTTGGCACCTGCGTGGCAGCCAGGGGACCTATGGGACAGAAGAGCCTCTGGGGACAGGGCTGTGCTGGGAGTGGGGGTGGGGAGGACGAAGCTGTCCATGGTCCTCTGGAAGAACAGGAGCTGCTTCTTGCCCAGCCCAGGCCGGAGCGGACAGCGCTGTCTGGCAGCAGGCAGCACCTGTGTCCCTGGGCCATGAGACAGGCCCTGAGCAGGTCCTCCTGAATCTCGGGGAACGTGAGGGTTGGGTGAGTGGCCGGGGGCCCCCAGGGCCGCACTGCCACTGCCTGGTAAGGGAGCCTGCTGTCCTTGCACCTCAGCTTCCTCACCTGCACCCTGCACGGACTGGTGGGGACCACGAGCCAACGCACCAAAAGGCTGACAGCAGCGCCTCGCATCCAGGAAGTGAAACCACACACCCGAGCCCAAGCTCCAGAGCTGTGCACCAGCGCCGGCCCCAGCTTTGCCCCAGTCCTGCAAGGCGAGGGAATCGTCATGGTGGCAGTGGGCTGGGGGCCCGGGTGTGCTGGGGTGGGAGCGGGTGGGGAGAAGAGAATTCTGCCCAGGGACTCCTTTGGCCGCACTCTCTCACAGCCGTTCTGGAGAGCGAAGACAAGGGAGTGGTGGCTGCCCCAGCACGCAGTGAAGTCTGGTCCTGCAGGATGGACACACGTCCCGGGCGAGAAGAGGCAGAGCCCTGGCTTGGGTGCAGTATCTCCTGCATATGGCTCAGGTGAGAACCCGCAGCACCAGCCCAGGCCAGCAGGGGCAGCAACGAGGCTGACATGGACTCCCATGGTCCAGCAAGGACACTGCCAATGGCCAACTGCCCTGAGCAGGGCTGGCAGTCCCTGGAGTGGGCATGGATGGCACTTTTACCCAAGCAGGATGCTCTGTGTCAAGGGCAGGGAGGGTGGACATACATTTGGAGGGGAGCCACGCTGCACCTCCCACCTGACCACCCTTCCAGGGGCCCCACATCTGACCACCTCTGAGGCCCTGCTGCGGAGCGGACAGCTGTGCCAGCCAGGATGAGGCTCCCATCCCCACCCCATCTCCTCCATCATCATGTGGCCCCATGCCAATCGCCAACCCACCACCTCTCAGTTCCCAGCATCCCCCTTCCTTGCCCACTTGTCCCTGACGGGAAGTGGACCCTGTCAATGTTTCTCCTTTGCCAGCAAGTGCAATGCCAGGTTTTGTCAACAGAGAACAAGGCGGGACTACGGGAAGCCGTGTTTCTACTTTAACTCCTATGGCCGGGGCCAGTGGCCTGTGGAAAACCCCACAGTGTCTGGTCTCTGGCAAGCGTCTCCTGCACCTCAGTGGGAGTTTCCTGAGAAGCAGCTCTGGCCCCTGGCACCCTAGAAAAGTCTCTACCACCTGGGCTGGCAGCCGCGCCCTCTCTGTTGAGGTCAGAGTCTCAGGAGGGTGCTGGCTTCCTCCCAGTTCGAGGGACTATTCACTCCAACCACTTCTCCAACTTTCACACGAGAATCTTGGCAAGGAAGGGAATTCAACTGACATTGTAATTCTGCGACCCACACAATTAAATGTTGCGTTTCTCATCAAAGCAGCCCCAAGGCTCTAGGGAACGAGGGACTCCTCTCCACGGCCATGGCAGTCCTGATTGGCTGTGACTTGTGCTGCATTGAGAGACCTGCACGTGTGGTTTCTTCCTGTTAGTGCTGCTGGACGCTCAGGGGACCCCTCACAGCCCTTGCAGTCATGGTCATCCTCATGGCTGTGACAGCCTCACACAGCAGCACCTGGGCTCCTGAGGCCCTCGATTGGGCTGGTGTCTCACGGCCAGCATGGGGGATGGCTTGGTTAACTGTGAAGCTCCCCCAGGCTGTGGACCAGCGGCCTCCCCTTCCCACCAGCCAGGGGCTCAGGCCTGCAGCCCAGCCCAAGCAACAACCACGCCACTCCCAGACTCCACTGCAGGGGCTCTGTCTCCGGGACCCCTCCTGATATTGCGATGCTGGTATTCCTTCTCTTGCCCTTTTTGGTAGCTAGCTGCCTCGTCCTTGCTAGTGACTCTTTCATTACATTTTCCCCACTGGAGTGATGGGTGTTGCTTCTACCTCCCGACTGCGTCCTGAACCAGGCCCCACTGTCCATTCAACGCTCAGACCGAAAGCTCAGGTGCCAACCTTGACTCTTCTCTTGCCTTTGCCCGCACATCCAGCCTGTCAACAAGTCTGGCGTCCTCTCCTCCAAACATCCTGAAATTTGCTCTCTGTACTCATGGGGCCGCTGCCCCATGCCCCCAAGAACAATCCTGGTCCCTGCCTTGTAGGGCCTGTCACAGACCAGAATGTACCACCTCAAAATCTGCCTCTTTGGCATCAGCACTATTTTGAGCTGATTATTTTGAGAAACTGCAGACACAGGAGAAGCTCTGAAAACAGAGTACAAGTTTCCCTTTTGTACGAAAAATTTGCATCCGTAAAGGAAACTCCACTGGTAAGGGTCTGTCCTCTCCGTACCAGGAAGAGAAAGGCCCCAGATCACCAAGGCGCAAAGGCTCCTGTAGGTGGAGAAGGCCCTGCCTTAGCTGCACCGCAAGCCTTATCCCATGACTGGCCCCCAACACCCTTCTTCCTTTGGTTTGGCTGAAGATGGGATTTAAGTCAAAGGCGAGGGCCGCCTGTGAGCTTCCCTGCCTCTCCACGTACCTCCTGAGTACATACAAGGCACACGCCCGTGAGCTTCCCTGCCTCTCCACGTACCTCTCGAGTACATACAAGGCACACACCTGTGAGCTTCCCTGCCTCTCCACGTAACTCTCGAGTACATACAAGGCACACATATGAATACGCTCCTGTTTGTTTTTCTCTTTTCCCGACAGGGAACTGTGAGGGGAGAGGGAAACTTATCTTCCCACGCGGGATAAGGGAATTGCAGGGCCTGGAACTTGGAGAAGCTGCCAGGGTGAGGCTCCCCACACACCCCACGCGCCCCACCCCCGCGAGGCCCGCACCCTCTGGGCAGCAGGTGCTCTGCACCCCTGGGTACCTCGTAGGTGGAGCCATCGGCGCAGCGCAGCACCCCGTGTCCCTGACGCTGGTCCCGGACCCAGTCGCCATCGTACTTGTCACCGTTCCTGGGGGACACACGCACAGAGTCCACTCTCAGCAGGGGGAGCCAGGTGGTGGCAGTGACTCAGCCCGGCTCCTCCCACCGGGCTCCGCAGGCACCGCGGGACGGAGGCAAAAATAGGCCCGAGCAGATGGCCCCGAGAGCTCCTGCCTCGCCAGGGCCGGCTGGGGGCCGACGACAGGCGGCGGGGACATGTCCGCCCACCCCCACCCTAGATGGCAAGCCTGCGCGGGACACGCTTAGCCTCCGCCACTCAAAATGGGAAATGACACGGAGAGGCAACAGGAGGGGGCTGCAGTCTCCACAGCCAGTGAGGCTGAGACTCCGCCATGGGAATTTCCACACGGGCTGAAGATGCCTAGCACCTGGGAGGCGGGAGGCTCTGCTGGCCAGAGGGCACCCCCAGCCTCATTTAGACCTGGAGAAGCTCCTGTGGTGCCATCTTGCTGCCAGCCTGACCTTCTCAGGAGGTATTTTAATGGGAGGGGTGATGTTTTATCTACTAAACACACCATCGGTCAATTTCAATCAATAAAGGGAAAATTACAGAATAACACCAAAACCACAGAATGTGGTCCAACAACTTGGCACTGGAGCTGTGGCAGGTGGACAGCAGGGGCCGGAACAGGCCTGGGGTGTCCTACGGCAGTCTTGTCTACACCCCCAGGCCACATGGCCTCACACCTGTCCTGTGTGTCTCTCATACGCCGGGCAGCACCTGCAAGACTCATACTCACTTAAAGAGCATCTGCCCAGGGCCGTGCCTCTTGTTGTCATGGAAGGAGCCCTGGTACACTTGTCCGTCCCGGTCCACCAGAAACCCGTGTCCTGGAGAAGGGACCAAGAGACAGACTTGGCTTTGTGCCTCCTCCTGCATCTGAGAAAGGATCTGACCCCTGCTCCTCAGAGGGCAGGTAGAGGAAAGTGGTAAGTCTAGGAGGCATGGGGCTCAGGGCCCCCCAGGAGCATGACAAACCCTCCAGGCCTGGCTACACAGGGCCTTGGCACGGCTCGGAGAGGCTCTGAATGGGAAGGGCAGATGTGCTTTGGGACAGGTCGGTCAGCCGACAGGGCAGCAAAAATGGCCCTGGGGTCCAGCTCTCAAAGGTGCTGCTGAGGGACCCTGCAGACTGCCATTGGAGGCTGCACAGGCTCTGTGTCCTGCTGGGGTGAGGACGGGTGCGGTTTGGGCCTGTTGTTTGTTTTTACAAGAAACTTCAAGTTCACAGTGAGGGAGGCAGGGCTTCACCTGAACAAGGAGAAACTCAAGAGGATGGGAGTTCAGTAAACTGTGGCATTTTCAGATTTTGGACAACTCAGAAATTTGAGAGTATTTCTGATTCTTTCTTGTTGTTGTTGTTGTTGCTTTGTTTTTGAGACGGAGTCCCGCTCTGTCGCCAGGCTGGAGTGCAGTGGCATGATCTCAGCTCACTGCAACCTCTGCCTCCCAGGTTCAAGTGATTCTCCTGCCTCAGCCTCCTGAGTAGCTGGGATTACAGGCGTGTGCCACCATGCCCAGCCATTTTTGTATTTTTAGTAGAGATAGTTTCACCATGTTGCCCAGGCTGGTCTCAAACTCCTGACCTCAGGTGATCCGACTGCCTCAGCCTCCCAAAGTGCTGGGATTACAAGCATGAGCCACTATGCCTGGCCTCAGATTCTTAACATAAGAAAAACACTGGAAAAAGACGCTCCATCTGTGGTGGAGAGTATCATGTGCTTGACTCCTGTCTCAGGTGCAGGTGGCCTTTTGGCTGTGGGACCATGGACCGTGCTCTGCCTGGCTTGGCTGGGTAGAGGGACAGGGCACAGCCCCCTCCTAGCTTGAGTCTGGCCTCCTGACTTGCTTGGGCCAACAGAATGTGGAGGAAGTGGTCAAGCTGCCCAAGACTCCTGGGCAAGGAGCTGGGCTTCCCAGGCCTATGAGGATCTCAGGGACCCTCAGGCCTGGCAGAGTTGCTGTGACTATAGCCATTTAGTAACCCCACGAGACCAGACTAGAAGCCCCTCCCTGCAGGGCCCAGGCCAACCTACTCGCTCCAGGATCAGGAGCAGTTAATAAAGCAGTGGCCATTTTAACCCCGAAGCCATGGGCATCTATTCCGCAGTAGCGGATAACAGAGATGCACCAAGTGCCACAGGACCTGGTGGGCATACTGGTGTATGCAGGGCATAGGACACGGTCTGGGGGTGGGGAGAAGATAGCATGGGCCCCCTACCTTCTTTCCCACCCTCTGAAGTCAGATAGGCCCCATCAGAGGTTCCTGAACCCAAGTGGACGTAGGATCCCGTGCCCTGAAAGCACCCGCCCCTCACAGCACCCGGCTCCCGTGGACGCCAGACCTTCCCGCATGCCATGGGAGACCTCCCCTTCATAACATCCGCCGGCTTTGTACTCCATGACGCCGTATCCTTGAGGCTCTCCCAGAACAAACTGTCCAGAGAAGGTGTCCCCTGTGTGTGGACAAGGAGGTGAGACAGGAGGTTCAGTTCAGGGCTGCGGCCCCAGTCGGCTCTTCTCTGTCCCTGACCCATGAGATGCAGGAACCACTCCAGAATGGATGTCCCCGCCTCCATTGTACTACTTAGTCTGGTTCATGAGGGAAAACATGGTAAGCAGGTCTGGTCTCCCCAGCAGCTGGGCACGCAGACAGCCCTAGGCAGACACTCTCTGCGGACATCTACCCGAGGGCAAAGGACCCTCTGGTAAGAGTTTGCAGGGTGAAGGATGAGCTTTTTCCCTGGCTCTTTAAAAACTGAAAGCCGGCCAGGCGCGGTGGCTCAAGCCTGTAATCCCAGCACTTTGGGAAGCCGAGA